CTTTCTGTTCTAACACTTTCCAAGCCCTTCTAGTCTTGGGCAAAGGGATGTCAGGAATGCTGTCCAAGGACACTGAATCTGCCGGCTGTCTCTCTCTTGGTGTTTCCTCTTCTAGCTGTTCCTCACCCAGTATTTCCCAGCTTTCCCCCTCTGGACTTGTGCCCTTCTGCAAAGCACTGCTCTCAATCAATACTGTCCTCCTGCCCTTGGGAAGGTTCAGAAAAGGAGGGGGGACGCTCCCACTATTCCTCCTCAATCCAGTCCCTGACACTCACCAACCACCCAATCCCACTCCCCTGAAACATTACAAAACCTACTTACTCATGTGCACTGACCGCTTGGGATGTTGTAGCAGGAGCAGCTGCCTTGCTTACGTATGGAACAAATCTTCACCAGGCAGCAAAGGTCCATCAGTGTTATGGCTATCCAAACTTCCATGCAGAGGAAGTTGTACAACTGAGATGTCACTACAGATGAGATCTTGCTCCAGGTTTCTGCACAAGCTACACCCATCAGTGGGACCACAAGCAGCAGCCCGCCCCCCGCCCCCGCTGATCTCAGGCATATCAATATAGAAAGAGACTTTCCTACAAATACGTAGGCCTTGAATCATTGAGGGTTTTATATAGTCATCTATTACATGTGCCCCCTTCTGTTCCTGTTCAAACAGGTGTTGACTGTCCTAGGGGGCAAGCCTACAGCGTCCACAGAGGCTCACATACAAGATTACCCTCGGGGTCACTTATAACTCTTTCATTCTATGATTCTGTGATTCATTTCCAATAAAATCATCTCTCTTCTCTAGTTAGGAATGCTGAACTCTCTTTAAAAACAAAAAACCATTATTGCTGAGGTTTGTTTTATACAGGGCAAACCATGGTGTTTTCAAGCCTCTGTTTGTCATACCCCAGGGCCAAAACCTCCTAACATCTTGCAGCTGTTTATTTTTCTCCAAGACATACATTTAAATGACTTGCTCCCCACCCACCCCTTTCCTCTTTGTCTGTGCAAAACCCCAGGTCTCCAGAATGGAATACCTGGCAGGGATTGCAATGCAAGTCATTACCACCGCCGTAAATATACTGTGTGAGATACATACTCACTTCAGGTAAAGGCGGCATTAACAGTTAATGAAACCTTGAAGCTAATCCTAAAGTATATTAATGGGATTTCTATCTCATTTCACAACTAGGTGACGGTTGCCAGCCTGGGAGGCTCTTGATCTGCAAGGGGGAATCATGGTTGACGATCGCCTGCCCGCAGCTTGTTTCAACCGCTGTGCCCAGCAAAAATAATAATAATCAAACCCCATTTTTTAATATTAGTTTATCTGATAGTGCTCGGGGATGTAAATGCAAGTTTGAAAAGGCTGGAACTATTTTTCATAGGAATGCATTAAATATAGGCTCGGATGGAAATATACAAGGAGGGAGACCTCTCGCAGAGGGGCTAAATGCCTGTGTAAATGAGTGCTTAAAATGGTTTAGCAGAGCTTATTTATCTTTTTTACAGCCTTCGGTATTGTAAAAAAAATGCAGTCACACATTCTTTACTGCTGGCAGTTTTCTGAGCATTTGTGGTCTTGCCAGGGAAAATAGATTGTGCAGTAACTGTGAGCATATGTTTAATAAACATCACCCAAAAACCTCTCGCCCTCCATTAAAGCAACATTAAGGTTTTTATTCAATATGACAAAAGCTCAGAATTCACCGTTAAAGCTGTCGTTTCATTTTTAGCGCCAAGCACCCCAGGAATTACAAGGAGGAAGGTAATCCTTAATAGCAAGGAACCAAACCTCCACGACAGCCTTCAGATCAATTATTTTAAAATATGCATTGCCCTAAATGTCTGAGTTTCAGCCATCCCAGGAAACGAGAGCTTTGGCCGAAGAATCCTAAGAGATGGCCTTCCTTGCAATGGAGCTCCAGAAACTCGTAGACCTTAATAGGTCCATAGAACAGACACCAAAGGATCCAGAAGAACATGTGTTGCAGTCGTCATGAGAAGGCCACTAGAAATGTCCTGTCATGTTTCGAAACCCTTTTTCATGTAATTCAGGTGTCACACAGACTAGGGTGTGGAAACGCATAATTTCTAAGAATCTTCAATGAAGCCTGAGTCAAGTGATGGACAAGCTACTTGCAGGAGGGAGTTCTAAACACTACAGGTTGGGTTGGGACTATGTTGTTAGGAATAGTGTAAACCTAACCATGTCTACTCAAGTAAGTCCTATTGAATTCAATGGGGCTTATGCCCCAGCCAGTAGTATTACGTCAGGCGTGGAGAGACCTCCCTTCCCTTCGGTAACTTCACAGATAAGAATTAACAAGCAGTTGATGGATTTATAGTCCTTTTATTATAGCATCTTGGACATGGGTGGCGCTGTGGGTTAAACCACAGAGCCTAGGGCTTGCCGATCAGAAGGTTGGCGATTCGAATCCCCGCGATGGGATGAGCTCCCGTTGCTCGGTCCCTGCTCCTGCCAACCTAGCAGTTCAAAAGCACATCAAAGTGCAATTAGATAAATAGGTACCGCTCTGGTGGGAAGATAAACGGCATTTCCGTGCACAGCTCTGGTTCACAAGAAGCGGCTTAGTCATGCTGGCCACATGACCCGGAAGCTGTATGCCTGCTGCCTCGGCCAATAAAGTGAGATGAGCACTGCAATCCCAGAGTCGGTCATGACTGGACCTAATGATCAGGGGTCCCTTTACCTATAGCATCATGTTGCGAGCACAAATACACAGCTCTCTGCAAGGAGGGCAGTTGGCTACTCTAAACCCTCTTTCCGACTTCCGCAGAATTTCAGGCACCAATGGAGAGTTCCTCCCTCCCTCTGACTCCTTTGCTCTCTGATATGTTTGGACCTCCATGGTGAGGAGGGGTTCCCCACGCTCTCAAGTGACGTCTCAACTAGCTGCCCCCTCCCTTCTGGTTCTGCTGTCGTTATCTCGTAACTGGGTAACTCCCCCCCTAAGCTGTTCAGCTCCTGTCTCTCTCTGTGCTTCTGAACATGCTGTGGACAAGAGGGGGGAGCTCTTCCCCCTCCAGCTGTCCATCAGAGAGAAGCTGGTCTGCCATAGGATGCATTCCCCAGTCCTCGTCTTCAGACCATTCCCTGACATGTTAAGACTGCAGCATTAGTCAGTTATGACTGACTATATGGCAGTTAGTAGGTGTCAGGGACTGGCTGGATGAGGATGAATGGTGGAAACCACCTGACCAAGGGCCGCCCAGGGAAAGCACAGAGGGAGAGGATTTGGATCCTGGATCCTCATAGTGGGCAATCGCACACACCCTAGAGGAGGAGGAGAGATGAGAAGTACTGGAGACTGGGAGCTTGGAGAATGAGGAAGAGGAGCAAACAGGCAGGTGCCCCAGCACAGAGCAAAGATAGGGATCAGACTTAGCAGCTTCACCACAGAGCCACCTAGACAGCTTTTCTGTTGACAGCCTGCAAGCCGCCACCCCCAGAATAAGGTGTCTGAAGCATATCACAGAGCACAGAGCCAGGGAGAAACAGAGAGGGTCCCTCGGGACTCACTGTAGACAGAGGGAGGGGCCAGACACAGAGGGAATGGGGTGAAGTGGGAGGCACAAGCCAGTCCGAGCAATTTCTTCAGCCAGAAAGGAGTAACCCTTCGAAGTCTCAGTGTATCCTCTGTTCTGCTTATGTAATAAAGAAACTTACTGTAAGTTAGCTGGCGTGTCACTGTCTTTCTCTGTTCTGCAAACAACCTGCTCTCTCCTGTTGGCCCTGACAGCAGCATATGTATTGTCAAAATACAGGTAAGACCAGAAAATCAAAACCAAACAATCAGGAAAGTTCAGTTTTCATTGAGGTGAGGAAGCAGAAGGGATGGCACAGCATCCTAATTACTGGTGATGGAGGGGACATTTTAGGCTGTAGCCCCACCGTGACTGTGATATACGCAGTAGTGAACAGTAGGGTTGCATGGTTGCAGTTAACCTGACCTCCCTGCAGTGGAATCAAGAAGGAGAGTTGGGAGGTCAGCACTGTGCAAAACGATTGGCAGAACCACCATATTGGCTCTGGTGGTGTGTTTGCACAGCACCAACCTCCTCACTGCCTAGCCACACCCACTGTCCCTCCCAGCAAACAGCAGTGGTCCACTTGCCAGGAGGTTAGGTAAGGCCCACCGTCTGATACCAAACATACAGCCCAGCCCAAATGATTCCTAATGTTTCTTCTTCTTCCACATGGAATCTTCTTCAGCTGCAGCATCATTTCCCTTGGTTGACTAAGGTAATAGCAGATGCATCACGGTAACCCCTCCTGGCAAGTCTACAACAGCTAACCTTTTTATTTTAGTGTACATGGTTGTTAGGGGAGATAGATCTGCCTTTACTGAAGACGTGTCCCAGCCTTATATTTGTGTTCCACAGTGCCCAGCTATGTTTGCTTGCTTATTTATTTATTTACTTACTTACTCACTCATTAATAAAATGTATACCCCCAAAACGATCCCAGCACAGGTCACAACTGTAAAAAACGACAACATAAAATCAAGCCTTAAAACCGAATAAATCTAATTAACATTGTACAGTTCACTTCACCTGTTCCTTCCCAGTACAAGCCAGACAGGTGTCTGCCGACATCATTCTCCATCACCTGGAGGAAGAGGAAAATGTTCTGCTTATGAGTCACTGACATCTCTTAAATAGAACCTATGACTCTTCAAATGTTGCTGAACTCTAACTCCCATCAGTCCCAGACAGCATAGCCTGTAGTCAGAGATGTTGGCAGTTGCAGTCCAGTCATATCTGGAGGACCACAGGTTCCCCACAGGTTCACAGCCTTAGGAGTGCAATGTCCAAATTTATGCAGATACCTTGACATAATTTAAAATAGAAGAAGTGATGCTGCGCAATATATTGATTATGCATTATTTTATGTTCTTAGAGTTGTAGAATTGTAGAGTTGGAAGGGACCACGAGGATCTAGCCCATGCAGGAATATTTTGCAATGCAGGAATATTTGGCCCAGCGTGAGACTTGAACCCTTCACCTTAAGATTAAGAGTCTCAGGCTCTACCAACTGAACTATCATCTCCCACTGGTATTCCTCAGCTTTTAACGACCCTGAGGAAAAAATGGGCAGCAGGTTTCTACTGAGAGTTCAGCACATAAGTGCCCTGCTGCACAAGACTCAAAGGAATATTTAGTGCAGTGGTCTGTTTTCAACAGTATCCAGACAGGGGCAGGCAAACTGATTTGACTTTCACCTTTGGTAAAAACTGGATTTGCTTTTAAGTCTTACAAATCCTTTTTGGACAGTCTTGACAATGGAACAAAAAATGTGTACACAGTGGGCTTGTGCTGGATTTTTACCTGCAGATATTTGGAAGTTTAAAAGTGAATTTTGTTAGGATATGAGTGCAAAAACACCTTAGCTTAGGTACCATGTGCTCTTCACTCCCTGTTCACTGCTGCATCTTTCTCCAAGGTGTAGCCTTAGCATCATTTTTAGGAGCAAAACAAAATAGGGTTTTCTTATTTATATAATGACTGGAAACCAAAACATATTGTGTTTAGTAAATGTATAGGTTTGGAGCTGTCAGAGCAAAAAATGGATCCACCAACTTGATTCAAAATGGTGCCCAGCATCCAAATGTCAACAAAAAGCACTGTGCTTACCTCAGGAACCCTCATACTGAATTTGGTGATGAAATCTCAACAGGCAGCTGAACCTATGCCAAAAAAACAGGTGAAGTTGCACTTAAGTGATGTTTTGGACTTCCATCTTGAATCAAAATGGCACCTGGCATCTAAACAATGACAAACTCTACCACCCTGACCTGAGGAACCCTTGTGCTGAGTCTGCTGACAATATCTTGAGAGGAAACCAAACCTATGTCAAAAAACAGATGAAGACACACCAAAGCGACATTTTGGTCCACCACCTTCTTTCAAAATGGTGGCTGACATCCAAACATCAACAGAAGTCCACAGCCTCCACCCGAGGAACCCTTGTGCCAAATTTGGTGGCAATATCTCAAGAGGTGGCCAAACCTATGGAGAACAAACAAACCAACCAAACGGACAAGCCATTTTCCAAACTCTACAGCAGATTTCTTCTTCCATTGCTCGCTTCCTATGAAACATTTCAAAGCAATTTAACAACAAAGGCATCGAAAATCAAAAAGTATATAAAACAATTTTATAGAGAGAAAACATTACTCCACTTCAAAGGCTTGTTGGAAAAGGAAGGTTCTCAGTAGGTGTTGAAAAGACAACAGAGGTGGCTAGTTGAATGTATACAGTGGTACCTCTGGTTACGAACTTAATTCGTTCCAGAGGTCCGTTCTTAACCTGAAACTGTTCTTAACCTGGTACCACTTTAGCTAATGGGGCTTCCCACTGCCGTTGCATCACCAGCGCAAGGTTTCTGTTCTCATCCTGAGGTAAAGTCCTTAACCTGGGGTACTACTTCCAGGTTAGTGGAGTCTGTAACCCGAAGTGTTTGTAACCCAAGGTGTTTGTAACTCCAGCTACTACCGTAATGGGAGGGTATTCCAATGGGCAGATGTCACCATAATAAAGGGTCGATTCCCATATCATATGGAAGAGACCTATTGATGAAAGAATATTCTTCAGAGACCACACAATGCCATGTAGTTTGCATAGCTGAAGTAGTGACCTCACTCTGAATAGGCTGCCTGACAATGCCACATTGTCATGAAAATCTCCCCCTGTGCTGTTATGAGTAATGGAGGAAAGCTCCCATTGGTAGCAGTGGGAGATTTCCCCTTACCATCAATTGCAATGCAGGGAGCAATATTCGTTGGGATCATGGGTGGGCAAGGTTAAATTACCTCTTCCCCCATTCTGCTGTCCTAAAATTACTGCTCTCATCCTTACTATTAAAGAAACAAAAACCACTGCCTTTAGCAACCCTTAGGTAACAACGATCCAGCCCATAAATTGCAGAGAGAGAGAGACAGAGAGGAGGAAAGGGAGATGGAGAATACATGAATTATATATGGTTTTTTCACACCAGAGCTACTTTGCTTCAAAGTGGTACACACAAGATAAGACCATGGCAGGCACACCGTATTAGTATCCTGCCTCGTAAATTGCTCTAGCATTATTGTGCTGGACTGAATGGGATGCTGTTCAAAGTTCATTATTAAAAAGTAAGTTAATAAATTATGAGACTCCTTCAAAACTCGCACGCACAATACTCGGTTTTCAGGGAACAATAGGACGCAATTAAGCAGTGATGGTACAAACAATGCCAGCCACAACGATGGCCTTTAAACCTCATTATACATATCAAAGATTAAAACTGTCCTAATTTCTAGGGTAATTATTTTATAGACTTTAATTAGAAGACAGAAAGAGCACTATTGTGCAACTAAAGTCCATTAACCAACGCCGTAGGCTTGAAGACTGCCAGCGTTTACACTAATGTTGGCCCTCAAGAGAGATGTATTCTCCACAGCACCACTTTACCCAGTCTCAGTCTCGGTTCTTTAGCTACAAAAAAAAATATCCATTGAAACGAATATGCAATAAAACAGTATAAAAACATGAAAGCAAATAAAACCAATTTGAAGAATCATAGAATTGTAGGGTTTGAGGGGGACCCCAAGAATTCACAGCTAAAAAATCCCTGACAAGTGGCCATCCAAACTCTGCTTAAAAACTTCCCATTGGGGTGAGTCCACCTGCTCCTGAGGTAATCTGTTTGGCTGTCAAGCAGCTATTACCTTTCCCAACAGAAAGTTCTTCCTAGTGTTTAGTCGGAATCTCCTTTCTTGTAATTTGAATCCGTTGGTTCAAGGCCTGCCCTCTGGAGCAGCAGGAAACCACTTGCTCCATCAGGGGCGGACTTTGGTAGTCTTTTACGATATGGTGCCCTGTACAAGGCCAAAATGTGGTGCCCCCAGATGGATCTTCTCAATTATGGATCTTCTCAATTAGGCACCCCTTTAGCTCAGCTCCCTGTATGGCATAACTGCCCACACCACCGTAAATCCAGTGCTGTACTCCATATTCCATGTGACTGTTGGATATTCTCTCTGTGTGTGAGAGAATCCTTTGTTCCAGAAACAGAGAAATTTCAAAAAGCAGCAGAAGGCTGAGACCGTTTGGTCTATGCAAGGATGTTTTCTGTGGGAACTGTTCTTTGGACATGCACAGTGTCACAGGAAGTACTGATAAAGGATCTGTGTAACTTGTTGTGAGTTTCCTGCTTGCATCTTGTGGTGAGAGAAGCAGAGAGAGACTCTTGGACTCTTGTAGCGCTCTGAGCATGCCTTGACCACTGCAGTGGTGAATGTCTGTATATATTTGCTACCAACATGTTTTTATGCCTGTCAGGTCAACCTCTACACTTGACTGAATCTTTATGGCATCCATGGATGTTTATTGCCTACTCTGTGTACCTTCAACACCAAAGATGCTTCCACGGAAGGAGCTGTGTTGAGATGTAACTCTGCTGAGTATGGATACTGGCACGCACTCATAGCAAAAGTGATTCTGGACCCAATCCTTCTATAAATCATCCATCAGAGGTTGATGGATTGATCCAACAGTGACAGCCCTTAGGATATTTGAAGACAGCTCTCAGTCTTCTCTTCGTGTGATGGCCTGGGATTCGGACTCAGAGGCTGAACCTGAGGAATCCCAGCCTGCACAGGAGTCCCCGCCTCCAGAACCAGCTGAGCCGGGGCTGGGGCTTGAGCCTGAAGGGTCCTCATCTGTGCTGGATCCTCAGGTGCAGGCACCAGCTGAGTCTGCTCTGGCTCCTGAGGTGATAGATGACCCATTGCCTGCAGGTGCTCCACTCTCAGCCCCGTCAGGGGAGGCTGAGGTTGCCTCTGGGTCCGGTAACCTTCCAGCCTCTCCTGAGCTGCAGAGGCTCAGGGCAGAAAGGCGGAGGGAACTAAGTTCCCGCAGGAGGAGTGCTCACCTCCAAGCCAGGAGAGGTGAGTCACCTGTGGACCGGGGCCGCCCTATGCCTCGGAGCAGATAAAAGCCAGCCAGCCCCAGTCCCAGGTTACGGGAGCAACGTTATTGGTAGCCTGTTCCTGCCTGCACCCTGCCCTGCTCTTCTGCCAGAGTTCCTGACCTCACCCAACTCCCTGCCTTGGACCCAGCTTCAGCTTTGATGGGCAGCCTCCATTCCACACCCTCGACCTCGGACTGGACTCAGACCTCGCCGCACGGTTAACCCTCGGGACCAGCACACTTCCCCAGGCTGACCACACCCAACGCTCTCAACTGTTCTTCATAAGGCTTGGTTTCCAGACCCTTCATCATCTTGGTCACTCAGGAGTTGAACACACACCAATCAGGGTCCAGCCTTATGGGCAATCCTATGTTGATCCAACCATGTAGGATCTACCTGTCTTGTCTGCCATCAAGCGCTGTTGACTGGTGGCCTGATTCTGCCTCGAAGCAGGTGGGGAACACAGGGTGCAATGGGGCAGTCCTTCACAGCGAGAAACAGATCAGTTTGGGAAATTACACTCATGATGTAATTTCAGGCAACTTCCCACACGGAGAAACCAACAAACATGGGAAGTAAGGCCCACGGTTAGCCCTATCAAGTGGGGATTAAGACATGTCAAACCTCTTTTAAAGGTAGCTAAGGGCGAGAAAGTCTTTTGGTGCATAATAGAGGCTCTGGCACCATGTCTAATCACGTAGTGTTCAGTTTCAAAGAGCTGCAGTTATCAGTCAGTCACACTGCAGGAGCAGGCCTTGCATAACAAATAGCTGCTTTAGTAACATGATGGAGTATCCGGCCATTGTCGAATGAGAAAATGTAGCTATGATGCAAGACAAAACAAAAAACCCAAACCCTGATGAGTCAATACAAAAATGTGCCATCGTGGGGCGGATAATGTGTGCCAGACTGTTCATAATCAGAATGCCTTTTATTTTATTTGGCTTTTACTGTGAGGGGGGTAGATATTAGAAGGGAAAAAAAATCTCTGGAGAGATGACAAAACCATCCAAAGGAAAAGGAAAGCAGATTCAAAACTCAAGCAGTTTTAATTTTTATTTTGTAAAAATATTTTATTTATTTAGACATACA